GTGAATATTTTTTTTTCTCACACTTGTCCTCTAAGACTAGGAAACCAGAAGCTACAACCACAGAGCAGGAATACATGAATCCTACCACTGTTCCCAGGGATTTTCATTCAAGAAAGAGATGGTGTTATTTCACTAGGAAAGAGATTAGTGAAGAAAAAAAGAAATCTCCTTCTGCAGGCAGTCATAGAGCATTATCTGTGGGGCTGTGGTATATGGAGGGAAGTTGGGTCTACCTCTACCTGCTTCCCTGGCCCTGTTGCAGCCAGGTGAGGAGGAGAGAGTGACCCCAAACAGCTGCAGCTTCTCATGCTGCAAGTTTGGGGCTCCTTTCCAAGGCTGCCACACAGCGAGTGTGGATACACACAAGGACCAGTTATGCTCAGGGTAAGTGTACACCTGCTATTTCCCATCCATAAAACTCTGTGCCAGCAGTTGCCAGCAAGAAACTGAGCAGGAGCAAGCCCTGCAGGTGACACTAATCCAGCTCACAAATCATAAGGGTTATGAGAAATCGCCAGGAGAGGATGAGTTATTGTTGCATTACTTCTCTTATTGCATAATACCACTCTTTCGGCCACTAGATTAGTCAGTGATAGATGTCTACTTAGATAGCCAGTGACAAAAGGTCAACTAGGGTTGTGTTTTCCTTTCCCATGGAAAATGCTGACTGTTTGCCCTTGGTATTTTGACAAGTTTAGACCTGTGTGGCTCTTAAAAAAAAAAAAAGATTTTATCTAGTCCAGTCTTTCAAGCATTCAGTGAATGTGACCTTCGATTTTCATCTTTTTAGTTCACGTCATTTTCAGGAAAAGGGAAAGGCAAAATACATTATATTTTGAGTGACTGAGTTTAGTGACTATAAAAATATAAGCCACCGAAAAAAAAGCAAGGATGGTTTTGAAAGCTTTTATGAGTACACTGTAAGAAAATTCTAGGTTTTTTGCAAGAGAAGCAACTGTTTTCTGCCTAAAATTATGCATTTGATAATTGTGCAAAACATATTTCTAAATAAATTGAAAGACACTAATGTAATAAAAAACCCCAAGGAACCAAAAAAAAAAAAAAAGGGGGGGAAAGCAGAAGTTGCGTGACTGGCTTCAATAAGTCCTGTTACTTGTTTAAAAAGAACGATGTGATTTTCTCCTAGTCTTCCTCTCACTGAAAATCAGACATCAAAAGAAATGCAAACAGTATAGATGTTCAATCTGTCAATGTAAATTGGCTCAGCGCTGGTATAGCTAGCACATAAATTGCATGAGGAATAAATATACATTCTGTTTGTTCTGCTGTTGAGAAAATACAGTTCAATTAGTCTGGGCTACCATATGATACATAGTTTCTCCCTTTCTGTGAGATATAATTAGGAACAAGATGTAGCATCTGAGGGACTCGTGCCTTTGAAGAACATGACAACTTCTGAATAAATAAGAAGGAAGATATGAAAGTTACCGTGTACCCTTCTTCTCACTGTGGGGAGTTGAACTGGCCTTTTCTTGTCTGGCCATTTAATTTGCTCATTTGTATCTAGGCTTGTATGAATCACCCATTGCAAGGCTGCTCTGAGAGACGGGCTGCACAGCTGTGTGACCATCTGGGAAATGGGAAGGAAGGGGAGAGGAGAGGAGAGGAGAGGAGAGGAGAGGAGAGGAGAGGAGAGGAGACAGAAGAAAAAGTGATGATAAGATGATGGACAATGGCAGATGGGCAACTAGGGAAGCCTCACATTACTCTCTTTCCAGATCTTCACTGTTTGTCACAGTAGTTGAAAGCAGCAAGACAGCCAGTTCAGAAAACCATGTGTGGCAAGAGCTCTTGAATTATGCTACAGACCTGCCCAGCACTCTCCTGCAAAATGAGCATTAGGCCAACAGGCAAAGACATATGAGAAATCTCCATTTTTGTAATGTAAAGAAAGTGCCTCTTATTTGAATAGCAAGGTAATATGCAGCATTTTGTCACAGTCTTAGAAGATAAAGAGTTTTGTTGGAGGCAACTGTATCTCCTGAATGGCTTGGGACCAAAGTGATGCCCTTGCAAGTCTATAACCTATGTAAGCTAAAGGTATTATTTCAGTCAATATCTCATAAAGGAGAAACCGATCCTGATATGAAGATGGGATGATAGGTTATACAGCATAACTGAAAGGAAACTGTGTTCTTGAACTTATCTGGCTTGCTAATATTCCTCTTTGAAGCTCCAGATCCATCCAAACCCTCTTAGATTTGGTGTAGAATGCATATAATCATATTTTCATAAAGACATTTCGTTCCACCCTTCAGACATGTTTTATCTGAGTCCAGCTTCTCATATGCTGACTGATCTCCTGATTGATATTTCACTGAGCAGTGGTTCAGCCTGAAGACACAGTGTGCTCAGGAGCGCTGGCTCCCAGCTCTTCATCCCAGGAGCTGGAGCAGAGGGTGCCATGGCCAGCAGGTATCCTTCCTGGGTAAGTGTTGCCTGGTGTGGCTGAGGGCTACCATGGTCTACATCTCTTCAGAAATGGGCTATGGCAGGTGCCAGGAGAGTAGCGCTCAGAGACGTTCTTGGGTTCCCCCAGTGCCTCCAACATGCACAAGCAATGAGTGTTGTTAATCCGATATGTGTCTTGTTGCACCATGCTTGATAGAGTCATCATCAGTATTTGGGGGAGGACCTTTCAGGTTGGTCAAATCATGTTCTTCATCATTCTGTAGATATTTTTCCAGCATTCCCCAAGAGCGGAAGTTTTTTCAATAATTCCCTATATTTTATTTCCTTCATAAGGAGATGTTTTTAAAATAAATATTTGCGATATGTCATTGTTCTATTTCTTTTATTTCTAGTCTGTTATATACAACGTGAAAATGGCTGCATACATACACAAAAAGAATATTTTTGTCTATAAAATATAATACAAGAGATTTGTACTAAAAACTTAAATGACTAAAATTTCAGTTCAGGATTGCTGCTTAAAACAACACACTTCAACATGACTTTCTTCTTTTTTTTTCACAGTAGAATTTCAGAAAAATATACTTAACCATTGTGAATTCAGACAAAAAAGTATTTGCTTAGCAGAAAGTGGTTTAATTAAGGTTTCTAGCTAGCTCTGTAGACAACCATTTGTATGTGTGGTTCAAGCACAAAGTAAATAAACAATACACTCTAGGCTTTACTTCCCACTTTATTGTTTGAATCATTACTGGAACAGGTTATTGGCTGTTGTAAATCACTGTAGCTTCTTCAGTTCTCATGCAATAATGACAATTTTTCTCTGACAAAAGCTGAGCTGAGCTAGATTATGTTCCTCAAACTACATGCAGCTTGCACTAGTTTAAAATGCATTGCATTCTTATGGTGTTATTGCAACTTTGCATGACTAATTTTACAAAAAATTACCAGAAATGTGGGGTGTACAAAAGGCCCCTAAAAACCCGCATACATCTGTTTTAGATAGGAAAAGGCAGAAATGTTTTCGCAATTATGGGAAATCCTTTGTTAGCAAACTAATTTTCTTAGTGAACAATCAAATCTGAGGTAATGTCAAGAAAAACCTGAAGAACGTGCCCGAATTATCCTTCCAGCTAAGTTCCAAGTTACTGGCCAGAAAATCTCTGTTTTTTTCCTTGTACAGTAAACCGGGTCACCTAGAAACAGATTTTGAGACCTAATGATCCGTATTACTGTTTACTATTCCCAAAGAGATCTGAAGTTTTTTAAGTGCTGAGTTAAAAATATTTTGCTAATCACGGTAATTTCCTCATATGTGAAATCTCCAAGTTACACCATAAATTAGCCAAAGAAAGTATGCAACTGGCAAAGCTTAGTGAACTGATTAAGTTATTTAATGACTGACTGATATCCAGGTAAATAACTGGAGCTAATTCAACATAATCACAGTATATCTACAAGACCTTACCGATATCGTACATGCTTTTAGCACTTAAACTGTTTTACAAAATTTGTTTTCAAATAACATGTAACATAGGTCATACAGGGAAACTCAGAATAGGCAAGATTTTTTTTTTCTGAGGTCTAATTGCATAGTGTATTACATTTTAATTTTTAAATTAAACATATTTAAAAAAATGTATGTTTAGAAAACTTTAGAACATAGTTTGAGAACAAGAGGCTGGTATATGCAATATGAATAAGAAGTCCTAACTTGGGTCTCCAGCTGCTGATTGCACTAAAAACCAGTTTGAAATAAATGCGACTAAATCAAATATAAATATTGACCAAAATGAACCTCACCTGTTTAGAAGAAGTTGCTTAGTCGTACAGAGACTGTAAGATACTGAGGACCTGACCTCAGAGGAGGCCCATGAAGCCCCACTGTTCTGGAGGAAGCTGCCTAGACAGCACTACTTGCAGGATAAAACGTGACTCAACACTGTACTTCCTCACTCTTCTATTCTTAGATATGGGTCTTATTCTTTCTCTTTATAAAACATTTGATGTGTGCCATGCAACACAAAACTTCACAGTGGGAGAAACAGCTTACAAAAGCAAGCACTTCTGGGCTAAGGGGGGCTTGCAAAGCAGTATCCTATCACTGTGAGAATGAGCAGTATATGGTCTTTGTCTCACAAAGACCATTAGCAGAAAAATTGCATTATCTTCTCCCTTCATTTGGAAGAATAACAGTGTAGTTTTCACTGCTTCACATACCAAATAAGTGTAAGGACTGAGTCTCGGCTCTACGAACATGTATTATGGAGGAGCTCTTGTTCTCTCCTGTCCATAGCAGGAAAATGAGGCTCAGTTTAGTCTTAGAGATAAATCCCAATTAGAACAACAAATCCTAACTATATAGATTATTTGGAATTTATTTCAAACACTGAGCCTGCCCAAGTGATCATAAGTGCTGGGAAAGTACAGATCTGAAACCAGATAACACAGTCTAGTGTCTTTCTTGGTATGAATCTACTCATGACGAGCTTTTCTATTCAGCCACTCCCCTAAACTCACCAGGATCTTTTACGTAATTTCCTAACACCTTCTGCATTATGCAGACTTTATAACATCACATACATGTCATCATTCATTAAAATCTGGAAACCAGGAAAAGAAGCTATAGTGTTGGATGTTGGCATCAGGCAGGCAATCTGAGCTGCTTTGGGGTCATTATTTTCAGCTGCTCCTGAAAAAGAGAAGATTTTTTCCCGAGGCCCCTGTTTGTCACTGTTCTTCTCATCTTCTTGCTGGCTTTCTGCCTCAATTAGGCACTCTGGCTCTTCATAGTCTAGCTTGGTTTGCACCACTGCATGATCAGTTTTGTCTATCCATTCCTAGGAAAAAGAGAATGTTGATGTTGGCTGGGACTGAGATATCAGTCAGAAGAAACCTGGCTGTACAGACACTGATTTTCCTTTAGTAGTGACACTTTTTCAGGATAAGCCACAATGAAGAAGAAGAAAAGGAACAATATAGATTAGAAGGACTTAAGACAGCGGGATGGAAGAAAGGCAGAATGGCAGGAAAGCACACAGTATTCCACAAATGCATACAAACTCCTACTTACTACTGAGACCACATTAAATACATCTTCGTATTTAATCAAGGCCTTTAGAAAATCTTGAATGTTTAAAATACTTGATGTTCCCTCCTTCATAGACTCATGCATTCCTTGACTCAAGCCCTGACTTAATCTAAATTAAGACTGAGTTTACATGGAGATTTAAGCAACATAGAGTTTCTGTATTAAAGCTTCAGTATTAATTTGCATTTGTATATTTCTTCTTCAGTTTCAGTTTAAAGCTATCTTTATATATAGAAAGTTTTCGGTTTGTCACTAAAACATTATTACTGTTCTTTGATATTGTTATTGGCTTTGAAAATGTAAATATTTAACCTGTCTTCACTCAGAGGAAACCTAGTAATAATTAAGATAAAGACAGACCAATAAATACAGAACAATGCATCACATATGTGATGTCATGGACTCAAGAAGCAGTAAGAAAACAAAAGCAAAAACCATGATCTATTCATTTGACAGCCATTTCATGTCTAAAGGCTTAGTGGCCATACACACCTACATAGCTAAGAGAGGATGCTTCCCACTGTGACTGATGTCTCCAAAGACATGAGTGCATCAGCACTGCGTCTCACAGCACTTTACAAATATAAAAGGCAAGATCAGGTGGAAGCAAGCTCCCTGAGCTATCGGGTGCAGGAATGGATGTAAACACCACAATGGCATCTCATTGGATATCGTGCCTCTGGACACCCTTAAACTCTCCTCCAGTAATTTCTCTGTCTCTTTCTATAGCAAGTGCCTTTTCACAGTGCCAAAGCAGCACTATACTGATTGTATGACTCTGGTATTTGCTCTGTGGATCCTCTTGGTGATGTTGCACAACAGGAAGGGCTTTTCTCTTAGGTCAGAGAGTGCTTGTGGGAATGTCTGTGCAAAACAAGTATCAGTAGCTACTTTCAAATTATTCTCAATACTGTAGAGTTTACAGCCTTGCTAGGAAGAGAAGGTTTACCTGGAAGTTTCCATTATGATCACTGAAGAGATCAGCAAATACATATTTTGGATCTGGTACAGCAGGCATAACTGACTTCTGAAGTCTGCGAAGAGGAAAGAAAAATACACATCAATGTTTTGTTACAGTGTAGTCATTCATACAAAAATCTACTTCAACACAGTTCTGTAGCCACAAATATATTTTACATGACAATACTCTAGACTTGCTTTCTTTTAAATGTGTTCTAAAGTCAAAAAGCAGTTATAATTACAATAACGCATGAGACTGAGTGATTTTTCTGCTGCATTTTCAACCAACTCCATCCTAATAAAATCTGGACTCTATACAAACTTCCAGCTAGTCAGCAAGTGCCATCCTGCTCCATGCAATAGTCAGAGCTTTACATTCCCTGGCCATATACCCCTAGACAGGGAAGACGGTGCAGCAACCAGCTGTATTGTCTGACTTAATGGACACAAATGTAAACATGAAACATAGAAGTGTAGGAGAAAAAACTCAACTTATGATCTAAAAAGTTTATCAGAGTCCCATATACTTTCAGCTCTGAAAATACTACAGTTTTGGCACTTTTTTTTTCCCACTGAAAAAGGCAAAATTTGGGGGTTTTGCAGGTTTTGTTTGTTATTTGGTGATTTTTTTTAAAATAAATTGTAGGTTCTAAACATGGACAGTCATTCAACTGCAAATCCAAATATTGATATAGTCTTATTAAAGTTGAATACATTCAATCTTACTTCAGCCTACTGCAAACAGACATTGAATATGATGAAAGTTGCACAAAATAACGGCAGTTCAGAAGAAATAACCAAAATAATTGTCTTCCCTGGATTTAACTATATTTCTAAAAAAGAGAAGAAATTAAGTGGAAGAGAGTGAATTTTATCTTGAAACATTGTCTTTTACAAGAGTTGTTCTGGTTTTGAAAATCAAAGGCCTTGGTGTTTGGAAGGCCAGGATGTATTGTCCCTCAAATAGTAATTGAGGGATTGATTTCTACATCCTCATGATGACTTCATTTATCAGATAAAAATTTTGAGTGCTAAGAGACTTGGTCCTGAATGACAGCTCTATTTTCATGATATGATTATTTAGTAGTAACCAATAAAATTATATTTACCTCTGCCATTTACACAGAAGAATCAAGAGGATAAGGATCATTAGAAGTACCGCCAGCAAACAACTTAAAACAATTACTGTGTTTGACTGAGATTTTATACCATCATCACATGAATCTAGGAATAATCACAAAAAGTATGTGAAAAACATAAATACTATAAAAACTAAATTATTATTCATACAGGAGCAACCTTCCAGACTGTTCCACCTGCCTGTTTCGTTCAGCTTGCCAGAAAGCTACAAGAAAAATTGTAATCCCATGTAAGGTATTCAGTCTATGAAATTTCTTGAGCACAGCTTTGTTCATGGCTTTCTCTCATGTTAGATTTGAAGTCAATATCAGCTTGTTAAAGTCCTGCAGTGAAGTGCTTGCCTCAGTGAAGAGGCTGTGCCAATGTCACTTCAGACCCAGGGGCAGCCAGAGCAACTGAACCATTAGTTTGTCTCTTCTGTGCTTTCCATCCTTGCAGTTACCTGCTGGCAGCCTCTGGTCGAATGGTCAAGGTAAGGCTGTTATGTGCTCACCTCTCAGAGGTGCATAAGGAGACATTGTCTTTCGTGTTTTCTTAAGGACATTTGCCAGCCACACCTGAGGACATGCTTGCAGATTCACAATTTTCATGCTGGAGGAGGTTTCTCTGGACGTCAGCACTGTGACTGCTACTAGTGCACACACTACACATGTCTATGCTCCAGGCTTTCATCCCAGCTTTGTGTATACACATTTTCTTCAGGTAGGGTAATAGCCCATTTCATTTTAGAGAACTCAGATCTGGGTACACTGGATATCTGGGTGTGTCATAGTTCTGATAAAGCCTGGTGAGAGGCATTTAGTGCTTAGCTGATGTGATATTAATGTGTTGGGATGGTGAACAGTCTTGTCTTTACTACAGCAAATCTGTTTTTTTTGGATTTTATAACCGTTAGAAATACTGTTACCGTCAAAGATCTAATGAATTGCACTCAGTTAAATGTGTTTGTCTGCTGGGAAAGCAGTGTTGATACTGACTTTACTTCCATTTTATCCCTTTTCCCCATCCTCCCTGCTTTGACCAATCCAGTACATATAACTGTCAGATTTCTATGACCTCTGGTCCTATAGTTCAGCTGGATGTGATAAACTGTCTTCAAAAATGGGACATTGAGGATTTTCTTAGGGTTCGGGTTTGATGTCCACATATCATATATGGACACCTCCCCACACACACATCCCATGCATCACATCGCTGTCATTGGTGGACCCTAGACTCTACTGTAACTCAAATAATAAGGACACTTTTAACTTTGCTGATTATGGCATAAATTGATAGTGTCATGGGCCATCAGGAACAAAGTGGACAGGAGTTAACCATGGCAATTAGACACCCACATGAACTTTCTCTGATAACAGAAGATGGAGCACAACAGTGCAACATTACTTTACTGCATGTTCCCAGCCTCTTTTGCAGTTACCCCTTCCCCATGTGTACTTAGACAACGTATGAATGTAGCACCACTGTTACCTAATAATGTGCCATTCATCCAAAATGTTTCTGCTTCCCAGTCACTGTTGTAATTAACTACGTTGCAGTAGGGTACTAGCCTCTTCAGTCTGACCCGGAAAGAATAGCATTTCCTTGGATCAAAGCCTTGCTCTCCAACACTGCAACACTTAGAAGTTCTGGACTGAGAAGGAAGATGTGTCATTGTTAGTTCTGTTTTTCAAGATAATGCTTCAGAATGCTACGTTCAGTCATGATCGCAACTAGGACAAGGGATGGGCCAACCCAAAATCTCAGAACTTAATTTTAACTTCTCTGAGTTTTGAAGAACTCTGTTTCTTGACTGAATTTTCACTATTCATATCCATTTCTCATTGTTTGATATTGAGTTGAAGATCATAACAATTGTTACACAGTGCACTATGTTACAGCTGCATATTTACAATACGCAGACACTTCAAGCCACAAAAAAATTACAAGTTATATTTGGGACTGGAAAGGTATAAGTCATGGAGATAATATTTAGAAATACTTAATAGCTAACTTTAGAAAAAATAAAAGTGCTGTGTCATCTCTTTTTTTTCATTCTATTTAATTTTTTTCTCCCCTTTTCTCTCTTCTTTTCTCTACTCTGCTTCCTGCTTTTATCTTCCAAAATTCTTCTATTCTGAATGTATGATCTTTCCCTTAGATTGTCCTCAGCTCTTTGTGTGGCAACTAGATATAACTCAAAAAATAAACAATTTCTGGCATGGCAGGCATCCAGGATCCTAAATATCTAATTGTTTGCTGCTACCAGCTGTTGGTATTGAAATACAGGATGGGAGAACAATTTGAAAACAACTCCATTTTACATTTTGTGGAGACGCTACTTCCAGCTCCTTCTAATGTTGATTAAAAATGTCATGTCCAACTCACTTGCCACTCTTCGTCAAACTTGCTTTTGAATTGAAGCTCAAGTTTCAAACACTTCACAGCTCTCTCTGGTTTATTACAGCTTACAGTAACAGTGTCCTCTTTCCAGAAGAAGGTCACATTTTCTGGTCGATTGGGCTTTACTAAGAAGAGAAAAAAATTGTGTTATAGTGTCTTAAAAAGAGGTGTTTTGAAGTTAAAATCATTGTTATTCATTTCTTGTCTTAATGTTTCTCTGAGTAGCAAGTGAAGAAGGTGGACTTTCTTCTTGGACGACACACTTTTGTAGCTGACCTCCCTATTAAACATGAAAATGGATCTTGACAACATGACACCGCTCACCATCTGAGGTGCCACATTCAAAGGTAGATACTATCTCATGTCAGGAACCTACTGCAAGTACTCAAAGAAGGACTGTAGTCTTCTCATACTCTCTGCAATCAAGAGAAAGAAAGAGGTTGCTTCACTGGAAAGGGACTGACAAATTTAGTACCATAAAAGCAACAAGACACACTCGTGCAGCTGTTGGAGGCTCTGTGGAATATAGTGGGACATTTGCATAAGTACTGGGTGCCTACCTGTGCACAACGGAATCTATCCCTCAATGTTTTCAAGTGGTCCAAAGACCATGCAATTGTTTGATCTATGTAGCTAGTTAATCTTCTGCAGTGGGAAAAAAAGGGGTAAGAAGAGTGTTACCTGCTTTGTCAATTGCTCTAGTTATCCTTTTGTATTATGAAAACTATGCCTTCCTAATTTAAAGACTGAAGTCTGATCTTTGATATTTGTGCTTTGTTACCTAACCCTTTTGAAATCATTTTAGTATCAGTGAGTGTTTAATAGCCAAAATTCGAGGATCAGACTGCAACTTCACATAATTTACCAGATATTGGCAAAATTCTGAGATGTATATATTCCAAACCACTCTCCATCGTTTATCAGAAGTCCTGGTCAACAGGGGAGGTCCCAGATGACCAGAGGCTTGTCAATGTGATGCCCATCTACAAGAAGGACTGGAAGGGGGATCCAGGGAACTACAGGCCTGTCAGCCTGACCTCAATGTCAGGGAAGATTATGGAGTGGTTCATCTTGAGGGCACTTACATGGCATGTACAGGACAACCAAGGACTCAGGCCCAGCCAGCATGGGTTCATGAAGGGCAGGTCCTGCTTAACCAACCTGATCTCCTTCTATGACCAGGTGACTCACCTAGTTGGTGAGTGGAAGGCTCTGGCTGTCATCTACCTGGACTTTAGTAAACCCTTTGAAACCATCTCCCACAGCATTTTCCTAGGAAAGCTGGTGGCTCATGGCCTAGA